AAAGGGATTGTGAATTGTAAATTATTATTATAGTAATTTTTCTCATTCACTTTTGGCCAAAACAATTGAGCTTTAGTTTTTACACCACATTAGTTCCTTGACCTTGCCTGAAGCAGTGTCCATGTCACCCCACCAGTCCCTGACAGTGGTGCTTCTGGATCGCAGCTGGGTTGTAACCAGTAGCAGTACTTAATTAATATTCATGGATTTTTTGGTTTGTTTTACATTTGTTAGAGTTATATTTTGCAAATAAAAATGCAGGGCACTGAGTTAAATCTGAATTTCAGATAAGCAACAAATATCTTTTTAAAATACATATATTATGCTTAAATTATTTCTTTTGTGTCTGAAACTCAAATTTAACAGTATGTCTTGTGTTTTATCTGACCCTAGTTATTTCTGTTTTTGTGTGTATTTGTTTCCAGGCATGCAGAGGTGAATATCAAGTTGTTGAGGGATTCAAAATCTTAACTGGAGGAGATGAGAAATGGAGTGAAAAGAAAGAGATTTGAATGCAGGAAGACCAGACAGGAAACCATTGCAATAACCAAAATGCTTGTTGATGGGAGTGGGAGCCAAGCAATGGGGATAAAGAAGTTGTTCTCTTTTCTTGTTAAAACTGAGCAAGACCCACAAGTTACTTAGACCCAAGTGTCGTCAGGCAATCTCTTGCACAGCGGATTTTGACCCAAGTTGGAAGAGTTTTCCACTCAAAGATGGTGACAGACACACATTCAAAGTGGTGTGATTGGCTGCCATCTTTGAGTGTAGTGCTTCTGCCTTTTTCGTACTCAGGTCAAAATCTCGAGATGTAAGAGATTTGATTGTTATGCAACCTGTATAGACTGTGGTCCATTATTTACTCAGTCCCTCAATCATCCACTCATGATCTAAGACCTAAAACATTATGTGAAGCTCTGATTTTTAAAAATTATTTCCTGACAGCAATAAAAAGTTCCAAAAGTCTGTTTTCATCTTGAAATTAAAGTCATAAGGCACATACTGCATGCCTCTAACTTCATTGTTTTTTTTTTTTTTGCTAAGTTAGGTCTTATTTTTATTTTTATTTTTTTGGTAAAGTTAGGGCTTAACCAAGAAGAATACTACTAACTATCTGTTGTTGTTAGGGCCCATCCAGTCAGTTCCAACTCAGTGACCGTCTGCACAACAGAAGGAAATGCTGCCCAGTCCTCTGCCATCCTCACAAGTGTGATGCTTGAACCCACAGTTGCTGCCACCATGTCAGTCCATCTCTCTAGGGCTCTTACTCTTTTTCACTGACCTTGCACTTTACCAAGCATGTTATTCTGTTCCCATGTCTGAAATTTGAGAGATGAAGTCTCACTATCCTGGTTTTTAAGAAGCATTCTGGTTGTACTTCTTCCAAAACAGATAGATTTGTTCTTCTGACAGTCCTTAGTACTTTCTCAATATTCTTCGCCGGCACCAGAATCCAAATACATTGATTCTTCTTTAGTCTTCCTTATTTGTTATCCAACTTTCACAGGCATGTGACGTAATTGAAAATACCATGGAACCTATGGCTCACTCTCAGTTCTGGTGTCTTTTACCCCATCTGTCTTGCAGCAAGTAGTACCCCTAGAATGTAGTTTGAATCTGTCTGCTTCTGTCTTGTCTTCTCTGTCACTGTCCTAGTCCAAGCAATCCAACTTCGTCTCCTGCCACTTTCACAGTCTTCTAAATTGTCCCCTTCCTGTCGCTTCTATACATAGCTACCAGAGTGATTGGGAAGAGAAAAAAACCCCCAAAAATTCAGACCACGTCAGTTCTCTGTTTAAGATCCACTAATGACTTCCTGGTGTGGCATTGTAGGATAAGCACTGGACTGCAAGGTCTGTTTCAATGGTAAGGTTGAAGGTTCAAACTCACCAGCCGTTCCTTGGAAGCACTATACAGGGTTGCTATGATTCTGAACCGACTGGACGGCACTTAACAACACTAACGGCGGCTTTCATTTTTACTTAAAATAAATGTAATTTCCTTTATGCAACTTACACATCACCACTTTTTCCTCTCCATGCTTTTTTAACCACTCTGCTTTACATTTTAGGATGGAGTCCTGGTGTGATGCTGGATCACAAGGTTGATTCGAACCACAAGGTCAGTGGTTCAAGCTCACCAGCTGCTCCTTGGAAACCCTATACAGGGTCCCTGTGAATTGGAGCCAACTCAAAAGGCCCTTAGCAACAGCAACCACAGTTCTCCATGTTATTCACTAGGGTGGTTGTTGTCTTGGTGCCTTAACTACAATCGCATCAGCCTAGGGTTTGCCATTTCTAGTGTCTAGTTCTTTATCCTGTCTAGGTTTCCACCTCACGTCACCTCTTAGGAGGGACAGTCTGCCCACTGTATTTGTTATCCTCTCGCCCTTGATATACCCTCCCGTGTATTTCTGTATAGCTCACATACCAGTGTGAAGCCATCTTGTTGAGTTACATGTTTATTATTCCTTCATGTTTGAATGTGGGCTCCATGAGAGTAAGTCCTGGCCAGATTTTCACTGCCTGGCATGTAGAAATGTCTAATAAATATTGACATGGTGGGTACTGAGGATACAAGTATACATTTTAAAGGTTATGACCTTCAAGGAGCTGACAGGCTATGACAAAAAAAATATATTAAAAATTCTGGGTATAATAGGAACATAAAGCAATTGCTGGTTGTTTTGTTGCCACCAAGTTGGTACTGACTCAGAGTGACCCTCATATACTGTTTCTGAGGAGTGACTGGTGTGTTTGAACCGCTGACCTTGCAGTTAGCAATCCAGTGCTTAACCTGCAGCACCACAGCAGGACCCCCTTACAACAATTGGTAAGGTTCCATAAAAGAGATAACCTTTGTGCCAAGCTTGGTGAGTTTAGTGGATTCTGGGGGAGATGTGGGGACAATTTCCAACTGAAGCCAGCAGAGTGTGTAAATCTGCACAGATGCAGAGGGGTGAATCCCGGCAAGCAAACTCTGGGAACAAGGCATACTCCGTTCTGGGAGAACAGGGAGTTTGAAGAGGAGAGAATGGGGCAGGAGAAAACCTGAAAAGATAGGCATGGGCTGACCATATTGGGCCATATTTAAGGGAGCTGGACATGATCCTGTGGTAAGTGTTTTCTCCAAGTATGGGTGAGGACCAACCACTAAGCAGAAAAAGAATCAGACTGCCTGTCTAGGTCTTAGCATACTGTTCTTAACAAGCACTTGACTTAACTGTGATGCTAAAAGGCAGGGACTTTTATGGTGTGCACTGGGAGAACTGGGTCAGGTATGGATCATGTGTCACATGCTCATATTTACCTTTAAAAGACCACATGGCTAAGGGTGTGCAGAGAGTGGCTAGGAAGGAAACAGGATTAGAGACTAGGAGTCTGAAGAGATTTTTTATCATCCTTCAGAGCAGAGGAGTGTTTCTGAAGTGTCTGGACTTGTTAGAGTTGGGCTACTAACCACAAGGTCAGTGGTTCATACCCACAGGAGAAAGATGAGGCTGGTCTGCTTCCATAAAGAGTATTCTCAGGAACTCTATTTAGGATTGCTATGCGTCTGATTCAACTTGATGGCAGTGGGTTTGCGGAGCTTATTTGGCAAAGTGACTGGGAATCAGACTTACTAGGTTCATACAAGCTCTTTTGCTACTACCAGCCATGTGGCCCTGGGCTCAGTTTCTATAGTTATAAGTTGGGATAATAATGAATGACTTTACTAGAATGTAAGCTCTAGGAGGACATGAGTTTTTGAGTGCTTTATTCTCTGTTTTCCATGTGCCGAGAACAGTGTATGTACTTAAAAGCACCTTAAATCTGATATTCCAGCCCATTATTTTCTGCATCATATAGAAAGTCTTACAAAGGTTTCTGTTGCAGTCTCTTCCCCCACCCCCTTGCTTTCTACACATACGCCCCTTCTATCTTGCTTTGTTCTCTGAAGCTACAGAGAAGTCTGGGTCATTAGGGAGAGGATAGTTGAAGAAACAGGGTGAGAGATAGAACACTGAAAAGGAACTCTGAGGATAGTAACAAGCGTTAATAAGAACAATTTACTATAGAAACCATCAGATATATCAAGAAGCAACAGAGCAGTAAAAGGAATCCTCAAGTGTCTGTTGTCCTGTTTTAGCAGTCATCAATTAGGGCCTTTCTTTGAACAACCACCATTTAATTTGTACCGTGGATAAGTTGGGTATTGTTACTCTTTCGTAAGTCAATCAAGAGCAGACTTGTTAAGTGCCACCAAGTCAGTTCCAACTCATGTCAATCCTGTGTAAGGTCTCCAAGGAGTGGCTGGTAGGTTTGAACAGCCATCCTTTCAGTTAGCAGTCCAGTGCTTATCCTACAGCACCACACCAAGACTCGAAGGACAGACTTGTTGTTAAGTGCTATCGAGTAGGTTCCAACTCATAGCAACCCCTGTATAGGGTTTCTGAAGAGCTACTGGTGAGCTTGAACTGCCAACCTTGCAATTCAAACGGCTTTACAATCTGGTGCATTAACCCACAGCTCCACACCAAGACTCCAAGGAACAGACTAGGTATGATTTTAAGGATAATAGGTTCTGAAATGTCTTTTCTGATTCATCTTTTTGTGAATGCCTGAAATTTCATTAGTTTAACAGTTAACTTGCAAATTGCGAATAAGCCTGAGAAGGAGACCTATGAGAAGCCCATTAGCAGTTGTTTATATCTTACTGTAAATTGCTTAATGAGATACATGCTTTGCTGGTCAGTAACCATGAGTAGGCTTTGATGGAGACTGTGAAGTCATTGGGAACTGGATGTAGGTGACCAGGTACTGAAGAAGTAGTGGAGACGGTAGAAAAGTTTGACTTCTGATTTCCATCTTTGCCCAAAGATGGTCCTGGCCCCAGACCCCGTAGAAAGAGGTTCTGGTTCTAGTTTGGTGATGCTCCCGGTGAACTGTCAGCTGGCCGAAAGACCTTAGCTAGGGCACAGAATGTGTTTCCAGCTAACATTGCTGCTTGTTTATTTTTAGGTATCTTGCAATATATTCAGAACTCTCCCTCCTAGTGACAGCAATGAATTTGATCCAGAAGAAGATGAACCTACCCTTGAAGCATCATGGCCACACTTACAGGTATTTTGAACCACCATTCATTTCTTAGAAAAGAAAAATCCATCAACTTATTAGATGTTTAGCATGGGAATTCCGTTTAAGACCTTTGTTCTCCAAGAAATCAAATTAAAGTAAATTAATGGAAAACTAGAGAATGCTTTTGATGTTTCTTACTCTTGATAATTAGTATGCCAACAGAATGAATAGTGAGTTTGAATGCACTGCCTTAGTGTGTTTTCTCCTGTGTTGCAGGCCTGACCAACAGTGCTCTCTCTCTCTCTCTTACAGATTAGCTTCTATGTGATCTTGCCCCCTGGTGCCTCAAATAAGAACAGGACTGTTCACATTATTGTTCGTTGGATGTGATTAGGTCATAGTGTACATATCTCATTTTGAGCAGTAGCTACCCTGGGGACTTTTTATGCTTGTCTTCATGTGTTTCCTGTAGCCTGGAAGGGCAAAAGCAAATTATGATACTATTTCTTTCACAATGTCACAAGAAAGAGCAACAGCTGAGAGAAAGCATGTGTGAAGGCCAATTTTGTTCAATTGCCCTGAGCCAGGCATGTTTTCTAGTCATACTCATGTGCCAGGAAGGCTAAGGGGCATCCCTGCATCTCTTTTCCCAGCAGTAGGTCCCATCTGTATTGTACGAGGCTAAGTCCAAAAGTGTTGCTACCAGGGTTCCAGTTCATGCATGTGTGGGCTTATTATAAGCAAAAGATGTTTCAACATGTCTCTGCAATCAGTGGATGGTTGTAGACAAATTATCTCATTGTTGTTGTTATGTGCCTTCGAATTGGCTCCAACTCATAGCGAACCTGTATAGGATTTCCAAGGAGTGCCTGGTGAGTTTGAACTGTCGACCTTGCAGTTCAAACCTACCTTAAGGTTGAGTGCTTGTCTTACAGCACCACACACCTATCTTTCTGTATCTTGCTAGGGTACCTTTAAAAAAAAAAAATGTCCAGTCAGAATAGTGGCTTCCAAGGGGATCTGCTAGATTAGTAAAATTCCAAGGCAGAGAGATCAACTCAAAGGGTTAAGGCAACTGTTTGGGGATCCCAAAGGGGAAATCATGATTTTGTTATGTGCCGTGGAGTCGGTTCTGACTCATAGCGACCCTGTACAGGGTTTCTGAGGCTGTGAATCTTTACGGGAGCAGAAAGCCTCATCTTTCTCCCGCAGAACAGCTGGTAGTTTTGAACTGCTGAACTTGCAACTCGCAGCCCGATTCTTAACCACTACGCATGATAGATTTTCCTAAAGTACACAGGACCATCATGGGGACTCATTATAAGGAAGTTTTAAGAAAATTGGCAACTGCCTTGGAAAGAAGAAGGGCCAGGGAAGTTGTGCCGAGGAAGTGCTGTGTATCACAACCGGACACTTGCTCATAGTAAGGACTTTCCTATAAGAATGTTGTTAGAAAACCCTACCCTACCTATAGCCCTCAAACTTGTCCTTTCAGACTTATTTTTGTCCCCAAAACTCAACATTTAAAAGGAACACGATCTGAGTCCCTTGAGGATACCAAAACTGCAGTTTTGATGTGGTGTAAACCGAAGAGCACAAAATTCTTTGAGAAAGGTTTAAAGAGATGGAAATACTGCCTTCAGATGTGTGTAGACCTAGATGGATGGTATGTCAAGAAACAATAGGTTCACATTTTTGATATATGTGTGTGTGTGTGTGTGTTTTTAGGAAAAAAATGTTTCTGTGATTTTACAAGGAGCTCTGGTAGCATAGTGCTTACGACTTGGGCTGCTAACCTCAGGGTCAGCAGTTTGAAACTACCAGGTGTTCTGCAGGAGAAAGATGAGGTTTTCCGCTCCCGTAAAGATTATAGCCCTGGAAACCCTGTACAGGGTCGCTATGAGTCAGAACCGACTCCACGGCACATAACCACCACCACCATAATTTTATAGCAATACTTTTTTATGTACCCATTGTTTACTTATATATACTGGATATTTTGCAGCCTCTTTTCCTGGTTGTTTTTTCTCAAGAGCTGTGTTTCTTAAAAAGGTAGAATGTAATGAACCCCAAAGGCATCTTTCCATTGAGCCAGAATGTCCTCAAAGGCAGTATGACAAATAACCTGTTCATCTTTATCCCCAGGCAGAAGCCCCTGTGTCATTATAGAAGTGCGCTTGCGCATTTACTAGTTAACTTTGTGAATAGCAGAAAACTGTTCAGCAGGGAGATAAGACCTAGGGATCTTCTAAGAGTTGTTTATTTTATTTTGTTTGTTTTCACCACTTCAGATTGTTTTGACTTAATTTATAAGTTTTCTTGTCCCATTGAGGCAACTCAAGGTTGCTGTGATACATAAGTGTGCTGTTCTCCTAGTTATGGAGAAAGCTTTATCAGAGATTAGTACCACCACTCCTGTTCGTTTTTGTTTGCAATTAGCTTGGTATATTTGTTTCTGTCCTTTGACTTTTAATCTGTTTTTGACTCTGTGTGTGAGATGTGTCTCTTGCAGACAGCATATTGAAGGATCTTGTTTTCTTAAACATTCTGCCACCCTCCGTCTCTTAACAGGTGCATTTAATCCATTTATATTCAGTGTAATTATAAATACTATAAATTAATTACTGCCATTATGTTTGGTTTTGGTGGTGTTGCTGCTTTCTTTGTTCTGTGTGTCTTCTTTTGTTGAGTTCATGCTTTTTGTGTTCTTTCTTGTGAGTTTCCTCATAGTTTTAATGTTTCCATGTTCTTCTTGGATTTTCATTCTCTTGGTATGTTGTGAAGTGTTAATTTTCTTTGAGGTTGCCTTATAGTCCATTAACTTTTCTCTATGGAGAGAACTTTACTGGAGGACTCTGTTTTCCACCTCTTACCCAAGCATGCTGTACATGTGCTAAGATTGAATAAATTCATGAAAACATTTAGTTGATTTACTATCTCAGATTTTTTTTTTTTTTAATTTTTAAAGTGCTAGAGATGCGATTTTTCAGTCCAAGAAATTTGCAGAACTATTTGTGCCTTTTAGAGGTATATCCCAGATAGTGACCAAAGTGTCTCCACCCCACCCCTACAAAAAAGAAAAAACAAAAACACAAAAACCCCAAACTACTCTGGGATGGAGTGGACTACTTGTGATTTCTTATTCTTATTGCTTGGCACCTGTTCAGAGAATTGCAGTTTAGTCTGTGAGAAACTGTAAAATAAAACTAACAACCATAGTTTCCTCAGGAAAACTTCCACAGCTCCAGAAACAGGGAGAGAAAGGTCCTGAAAGCTTTCACTTGTCTTCTCTGCACCCCAAAGAAGAGACCGTTTTTAAGAGCTTTCGAATACTCCAAATCATGATCACTGAAGCATATAAATTTCCCCTAAAGTACAATAAAGTTTAACTCAGTACTTTAGTTAATCCTTCCTATGCCTAATGACTCTATAAAATACAGAACAAAATTAATTTCTGAACCTATTAAACTAAATTCTACCACCAGAAGTACTCTGGATTTGAATGTCACCTCTGCAGTAACATTTATCACTGGCTCATTGGAAACTCTAAAAGCAACAGTGATTCATGATGATGAGACCTTTTAGATAATGTCGTCACAGGTTGTATTCCAAAATGGACTGGTTTCAGTACTGTTCCTATACATCTCTTTGATTTAAGTTTGTGGCCTACAGAAAATTACACGTTAGTAGCAAGTCATGGACAGCATTTACTATAATAACTCATAGATCTTTGGGGGTTGGTTGAAATAAAGAAAGCATTGCATATTAAATTCATAGAATTTTCATTCAAATATATCAAAATGTTTACATGTGTGTTATTATCTGTACTGTTGTTAGGTGGTTCTTAGTTGTTTGTTGTTAGATGCTATCAAGGTTCCGACTCATAATGACCTTCTGTATAACATAAAACACTGCCTGGTCCTGCTTCACCCTCACAATCTTATGTTTGAGCCCATTACTGCAGCCACTGTGTTAATCCATCTTGTTGAGTATCTTCTGTTGTCATTGACCCTCTACTTTACCAAGCATGATGTCTGTTTCCAAAATAAATGAGATGAAGTCTTGCTCTCTTCACTTCTAAGGACCATTTGGGTTGTACTTCTTCTTAGACAGATTTGTTTGTTCTTCTGTTAGTTCATGGCACATTCATTATTCTTTCAAAGACATCCATTCTTCTTTGGTCTTTCTTATTCATTGTCTAGCTTTTGCATACATGTGAGATGATTGAATAAACAGCTTAGGTCTATGCTCCAAAGTCTTCAAAGTGCTGTCTTTGCTTTTTAACACTTAAGAGAGATCTTTGGCAGCAGATTTGCCCAATGAAATACATTGTTTTCTTGACTGCGGCTTCCCTGGATCTTGATTGTGGAACCAAGTAAAATGAAATTATTGATGATTTTCTTGATTTATCATGATGTTGCATATTGATCCAGTTGTTAGGATTTTTATTACCTTTATGTTGAGATATAATCCTTGGTTTTCTTTATGTTGGTTGCTGTAGTCTTTGATCTTCATTTATGAGTGCTTTGTTAAGTCCACTTCACTTTAAGCAAGCAAAGTTGTATCATCTGCATAACACAGGTTGTTGATGAGTCCTCCTCCAATCCTGATGCTGCGTTCTTCATTTAGTCCAGCTTCTCAGATGATTTGCTCAGCATACACATTGAAGAAATATGGTGAAAGGATACAACCCCAACACACACCTTCCCCAATTTAAAACTGTTCAGTATCTCCTGGTTCTGTTCAAACAGCTGCCTCTTGATCTCTTACAGGTTCCACTTAGGCACAATTTAGAGTTCTGCAATTTCCATTCTTCTTAATGTTATCCAGTTTGTGATCCATATAGTTAAATGTCTTTGCATAGTCAATAAAACACAAGCAAACATTTTTCTGGTATTCTCGGCTTTTAGCTAGGCTCTGACAGTGTCCTGTCTTCTGAATCCAATTTGGAGTTTTGGCAGCTCCTTGTTGATGTACTCATGCAACCATTTTAAAATTCTCTTCAGCAGATTTTTACTTGCATGTGATATTAATGACACTATTGAATGAGTTCCACATTCCACTGGCTTACCTTTCTTTGGAACAGGCATAAATACGGATCTTTTCCAATTGGTTGACCTGGTAACTATTTTCCAGATTTCTTAGAGGCGTGAGCACCTCCAGTGCTGCATCACGTTTTGGAAACATTTTAATTTGTGTTCCTTCAGTTCCTGGAGCCTTGTTTTCTCATAATGCTTCAGTGCAGCATGGATGTCTCACTTCAGTGTCATTGGTTCTTGTTCTTATAGTACCTCTTGCAATGGTTGAACATAGACCAATACTTTTTGGTACAGGGACTCTACGTCTTCCCTTTTTTTTCCTTCATTAAAAAAAAACAACAATTTTTTTTTTTCTATTGTGAGTAGAGTGAAAGTTTGGTTTACAAAGCAGATCATCAGTTTTACAGTTAACAAATGATACACTCTTCAATGTAAAATGTGTCCACCAAAACAATGATCCTGAGAGCCCAAGTCTCAGGACTCATTCCCTCAAGATGTCCAGTAATGTCTAAAAAGTTTTAATAACTTTGCCCACGTCTCTGCTCCACCACATTCACAGATATGGTTGCAGCGAAAAAGTAAGTATTCATGGACAAAATATCCCTTGTCAAACCTTTATATATTTGTGGGTATATTCTCACAGCCATTTAGCCTTTGTACCTACCCATGTATCTCTCCGTAGATTATTATAGGATTGTATATATAACAGCATTTACCACTTGCCTTTAACTCTTGAATTCCTTCCTGTGCTTTTGTCATTGTTTCGCCAGCCTCCTTTTTATCTTCTTTTTATGCTTCCTGTGCCTTTCAGTGTTTTTCCATAAAATCTCTCAGTATTGCTACTCGAGGCTTGCATTTTTTTCTTCCATTCTTTCAGTTTGAGAAATGCTGAGCATGTTCTTTCCTTTTGGGTTTTAAGCTCCAAGTCTTTGTACATTTCAATATAATACTTTACTTTGTCCTCTCAAGCTACCCTTTGAAATCTATTCAGCTCTTCATCATTTCTTCCCTTTGGTTTTTGCTATTCAATATTGAAGAACAAAGTTCAGAGTCTCTTCTGACATCCTTTTCTTTTACCTTTAATGACTTTTTGCTTTCTTTGTGTATCACCCAATAAGTCACTTAGTTTTTCATCATTCATGTCTAATGCATCAAATCTGTTCTTGAGATGGTCCTTAAATTCAGGTGGGATATTGTAGTGCTGTAGGGTAAGTGAACTGCAAGGTCGATGGTTCAAACTCACCAGCTGTTCCTCGGAAACCCTATACAGGGTCACTGTGAGTTGGAACCAACTTGATGGCAATTAACAACAACAGCAACGTACTGAAGGTTGTATTTTGACTCTCATGGACTTGTTTTCTTTTTTGTCGGCTTCAGGTTAAACTTGCATATGAGCAATTGATGGTCTGGTCTACATCAGCCTCTATCTTGTTCAGATTGATGATACTGAGGTTCTCCATTTCTTTCCACATAGGTAGCTGATGTGATTCTTGTGTATTCCATATGACAAGGTCCATGGTATAGTTGCTGTGTGTATTGTTGAAAAAAGTTATTTGCCATGAATAAGTCTTTGACCTTTGCAAAATTCTTCCGTGTGATCTCCAGAGTTGTTTCTATCATCAAGGCTGTATTTTGCAACTACTGATTCTTCCTTGTTTCCATATTTTACATTCCAATCACCAGTAATTATCAGTGCATCTTGAATGTATGTTTGGTGAATTTTAGACTGCAGAAGTTGGTAAAAATCATCAGTTTCTTCTTTTTTGACATTAGTGGTTTGTGAGTAAATTTGAATAATTTGTATTAAGTGGTCTTTTTTGCATCACAATTAAAAAAAAAAATCCAGTTTCTCTTCAGAATGTCTTTGACGAAGCAGTAAAGATGATTACTTTTATTAAATCTTGACCCTTGAGTACACGTTCCTTAGCATTTTGTGTTGCAAAATGGGAATTATGCAGAAATCATGTCTGTTGCATACTTGTGGAAAGCATTTGTGTGATTGTTTTAAGTTACAAGGTAAACTAGCTGTTTGTTCCTAAAATAGTACTTTTGCTTAAAAGACCACCTGACATGCAAATTCTGGATATTTTAACCTAGTTACTTGGAGGATATTTTCTGTAAAATGAACAAGAACTACAACTGACAACATTTGTTTTTTTTATAACATTAAAAATTTTAAGCAGAATTTAGGATTAGAATACTGAAAAAAATTGTGTCACCTTGAGCTTGGCATCTCCCCAAAGCTTTGACTTTAAAAAAAAAAAAAAATTGGAGGTGATTTTAAAGAATGTGTGTTTTGTTTTAAAAACAAAACAAGACACTATATAATTCAGTGTTTAAAGTCGGTGAACCAGTATTTTCTGGTTGGCCAATGAGTAAGATGAGAAAACTATGCACAGAAAAAAAATAATTAAATCAAAAAACCCAAACCCAGCCCTTTGCTGTGGAGTCATTTGTAACTTACAGCGATTCCACAGAGTAGTCAACCTGACCCATCCTAGGCTGCAGTCTTTATAGAAGCAGACCGCACATCTTTCTCCTGTATAGCAGATGGTGGATTTGAACCACCAACCTTTCAGATAGCAGGTGCGCATTAACCACTGCACCACCAGGGCTCCAGTAGTTATAACTTACGCTATGTGAGAGCATAAACAGTAATCAGAAAGCTTATTTGAAGTTGCCCATGTTCGTACTTTTTGCAGGTGAGAACATTGGGTCACACCATCATATATTGCTAGGACGAGTGGAAATTATCGTAAATTTTCTATATGGAAACTGTGGTTCCCAACCCTGAAATGTGTATCTATTTTTCAACCAAGACTGTTCTACTTTTAGAAATATTTTCTCATGAAATAATTGAACAAGTGCATGCTGGTGCAATATATGATGCACGTTGCAAACTAATTTGACACAAATAATATAAAGCAAATTAATTATGAATAATAGAACTATTCATTGTAAAATGCATATAGTGGACTACTCAGCAACTGAGAATGAAGTTTTAGATAATGGTTGACAACGTGTTCATAATATATTGCAAAACTTTGTTAAAACTTACTTGTAGTACACTGTTCTGTTGTAAAAGTATAATAAAGAGAAAAACGTGAATATATTCAGACATTACAGTGGTTCCTAGAATGGTAAGGTTATGGGGAATTTTATTTGTTCTGTTTGATTATATTTTTGGATTTTTCGATTTAGAACATTAAAAACATAACAGCAAATGTGAACCACAGAAAGGCTAGTGTGGCTTGCATTAAATATAGTTTTCTGAAGCCCTAATGACACTTTCAGTATTTAGGTTTTTCATGGTTACTAACACTGTTCTCAGTGAATCATATTTTGAAATTGACTATAATCTATTTGTTGCAGCTTGTATATGAATTTTTCATACGGTTTTTGGAAAGCCAAGAATTCCAACCCAGCATTGCCAAAAAATACATAGATCAGAAATTTGTATTACAGGTAAGAAAATTTCTTATGATTATGTGTATTTATTATTCAGTTGTTAAGTTTATCTCTTTTTCTTTTGAAACAAACAAAATATTAAAATATCATGCAATTACAGTTGTATCGCCATAGTAAATACACACATACAAGGGGGCTTCAAAAATTTGTGGGAAAATGGGATTAAATGATAATGAAAAATGTCCGTGAACTTTTTGAAGACCCCTCGTACATATGAAAGTTTCCATTGTTGCCCACTAAAGATGCTTCTGTTCTTGTTGTTACTTGCTGTTCAGTGGGTTCCCACTCATAGCAACCCCTGAATAGGGTTTCCAAAGAGGGCGTGGTGGTTCAAACAGCCGGCCTTGAGGTTAGCAGCCCAGTGCTTATCCTATATACAGTGCTGCACCAGGACACCTCTTTATCTATGATGGAAATTACTTACATTTTAAATAACAAGGAATGCTAATGCCCAAATTCCTGTAGTTTTCTGTCTTGAAATTTAATTATAAGGCAATTTCATTTATATAAATGAGTGGGTCTTTAGATAGCTTGAAAACTTATGTCTGTAAAAAGATTTTCAAAGAGGTATTACATAGGTCTGTTAAAACTCAATACACAAACTTTAGAGTTATAAATAACCTTCATAAAATAAATAATCAGTCCCAATACTGATGATCTTTCACTGCAAGGAAATAGCATAGCTTAACAATTTCAAATTTCCATAAAGGGATTAACTCTCACTTCTCCTTTTATAAATTCTCAGGGTCTGTCTTTTTCCTGCTTTCACAGTCACATTTTAGAACCATCGACCACATCTTCCTTTGTATCAGGGACTTGTGACTCTTCATGGCACTAAATTTTGATAACATATTCTTGTTCATGTTGTTGACATTTATCTGTGAAAATGGATATTTAAGCCACACTGGTGGATAGGATGTTATAGTGCCTTTCCAAGTGACATATGGGATACCTCATCCAGAACAAATAACTGTGTATCTCCTCCTGAGTCCATAAGCAGAATTTCAAATTTCAAATAGTTTGATTTGGCAGAAAACTGCTCTCCTATGCCTTACTTAACTGAAGGCTGATAACCTTTGTGATGATCTCATTCCTACTCCTTAAGTAAATTCATAAATTCAAAATTGCGGATATATTACATAGAAGGGTAACTGATATTTTGACTGTTTTGGGCACTTCATGGTTCAGTCTAGTAGAATGCCAAGCACAGACTAGCTCCACAGAGATGACGATCTTGGAGGGCCTTGATCCTTCTTATTGATATTGTTAAAGTGCCATCGAGTCAGTTCCAACTCATAGTGACCGTGAATAGGGTGTCCAAGGAGTGGCTGGTGGGTTTGATCTGCCATCCTTGTGATTAGTAGTTCAGTGCTTCTACAGTGCCACCCCAGGACTGCAGGAGAGACTTGATAGACCTTGAGTAATGTCGCTGAAAGAATTCAAATCTCAAGTTCATCTGTCTGCTCAGAGCCGAAATGGAACTTTGCTGCCTGGTCTGTGGTGCTCATTAGCAATTAGTGGGCAAGTGCTATACCCTTCTTTCATTGTGTATGTGGCAGGTCATGAGTTATAGTTCACATATTGACACTGATGAATCATGTGTCTCATCTTAGCATGAGAAACTTTGGAAAAATGAAGTTTAAAATATTGACAGAGACAAAGGTAGATAGATAGGTACATGGATCATTGAGTAACTATGTAGTTTGATCTAGATTCTTTAGAGTGCAAAATACATTTTAGATAAAACAAAATAATGTTGCAGACTTATATTTTGTAGTGGAAAGGACTTTAGATTTATGCAGCATTGCATAGCTTTCAGAGGACTTTTTACATAGATTGTTTAAGTTAATTTGTGCAGTAGTTTTAGAGAATGAAGATGGCTATATTTGTGTCCATTTTTATAGATAAATAAGCTAAATGACATAACAAGGGGACACTGAATGGTTTAAAATAGCAAAGGTGTGCACCAAAGTTGTATTCTCTGACCTCAGTTACTCAATCTGTATGCTGAACATGCATCTGAAAAGCTGAATTATAGAAAGAGAAACTCTTTATATAATGGCTTCAGGATTAGAAAAAAACTCATTAACAATCTGTGATATGCAGATGATACAACCTTGCTTGCCGAAAATCAAGATGACTTAAAACATTTATGGATAAAGGCCAAAGACCAAAGTCTTCGGTATGGGTTGTATCTAAGAGTAAAGAAAATAAAAATCCTCACCACTGGGCCAGTAAATAACATCCATATAAATGGAGAAAAGATTGAAGTTGTCAAAGACTTCATTTTGCTTGGATCCATTATTAACACACATGGAAGCAGCAGTCAAGAAATCACATGATGCATTGCATTAGGCAAATCTGCTGCACAGACCTCTTTAAAGTATTCAAGAGCAAGGATATCACTTGTAGGACTAAGGTATGCATGCCCCAAGCTATAGTATTTTCAGTAAACTCCATGGCACACAACAACAACATATGTATGTGAAAGCTGGACAGTGAATAAGGAAAACTATAGAAGAATTGATGCATTTGAGTTGTGGTGTTGGAGAAGAATATTAAAAGTACCATGGACAGCCAAAAGAACAAACATCTGTGTTGAAAGAAGTACAGCCAGAGTGCTCCTTGGAAGCCAGAATGACAAGACTTCATCTCTCATACTTCGGACATATTATCAGGAGGGACCAGTCCCTGGAGAAGGACATCATGCTTGCTAAAGTGGAAGATAGCGAAAAAGAGGAAGATTCCCAACTAGATGCATTGGCACAGTGGCAGCAGATATGAGCTCAAGCGCAGCCATGACTATGAGGTTGCCGCAGGACCAATCAGTGTTCCATTCTGTTGTGCATAAGGTCGCTATGAGTGGTAACCAACTCAGTGGCACCTAACAACAGCAGCAGTTCTCCTGAGTGCCCTTCCTTGGCACTTTGGTCCTGTGGGAATGGATCTTTGGGAATTTCAGGTAGTATTGGTGATATTCTGTTCCATCATCTCGCCTCCCCGAGCATTAACTGCCTTTGAGCTGGCAGGCTCTTTACACAGCTGTATTCTGTAGGCACATCTATGCTTTGTCTTGCTGGTTTTTCTATTTCACAGATTCCATGGTGTTATCTAGTCCTAACAATTTTGTAGCTGAGCCTGATTATTTTATGACTTGGGAAACCTCATATTATTTTTCTTTGTAAGTTAAGATGACACATACTTTGTCCCTTTCTTTGGGCAGATTTCTTATTTTCTAGATTCTCAAAGATCTCAAAAAGAGATTTGGTAATCTCAATTTGCACGTTCTTTGTATTCAATTGTATGCAAGTTTTATAGCAGCTAAAGGAGTCTTGGTGGGGGGCTGTGGGTTACTGCACCTGGACTGCAAGGCTTTGAACTGCAAAGTTGGTGGTTCAAGCTTACCAACCATACCTAGGAAACCCTATACAGGGGCGCTGTAGGCTGGAACTGACTCAATGGCACTTAACAACAACAACAAAGTGTTTTGTAGAATTTTCCCTGAGTCTCAGAGTGACTTTCAGCAAATTTACTAATTTGCTGCCCAAGTCTGAGATGATTCATTTAGTGGGGATAATTTTATGAATGATACACTGTTAGCCAAATAGGAGTCCTGGTAGATGCTGTAGGGTAAGCACTGGACTGGTAACCACAAGGTTAATGGTTCCCATCCAGAAGCTGCTCCTTGGGAACCCTATAAAGGTTCACTATGAGTCATAACTGACTCGATGGCACTTAACAACAATTAAGTGAATAGGATCAATTGCCATTGAGTTATAATAGTTCATGGTATCCTGTGTGTGTTACAGTTCTACTGTGCTTCATAGGATCTTCGGTGACTTTTCAGAAGTAGATTGCTAAAACTGTCTTTACTGGCACCTCTGACTGAACATGAATCTTCAACCATTGGATTAGCAGCTGAACATTTTTACCTTTTAGTACCACCACCCAGGAGACTCAAAGTGAACAGGAGATACTCCAAGACCGACATCTGTTCAACCTGCTTAATTCCCTTGGCACCAGGGATACAAAGGCAGTATCCCTACCTTCAATGTTAAGTATTGAAAACCTTGGGCAAATATTGCTGATCAGTTTTGTATTTCAGTGGTGTCTTCTGTAAAGTGGCAATAACAATTACTCTATAGGCTTGTAAGGAGGATAAAATGAGATGACTCATAAAAATGTGGGATGTCATGAACAGACACTTCATCAAGTAGGAGATCCCGGCAGCCAACAAACATATGAAGAAATGTTCACAATCACTAGCCATTGTTGTTGTTAAGTGCAGTAGAGTCAGTTCCAACCCATAACAACCCTGTATAGGGTTTCTGAGGAGAAGCTGGTGAGCTTGAACTGCCAACCTTGCAGTTCAAATGCCTTTGCAGTCTGTTGCATTAACCCACAGCACCACAGAGAGATACAAATCAAAACAACAATGACATATCATCTCACACCAGCAATAACAGCAAACTTCAAAAAAGTAGAGGACAATAAATGCTGGCAAGGATGGGGAGAGACTGGGACCCTCCTACATTGCTGATAGGATTGCAAAAAGGTCCAACCACTCCGGAAAACAGTATGGCGCTTCCTCAGAAAGCTGGAAATAGAAATACCGTATGATCCAGCAATTCCTCTACTTGGTATTTACCCATAAGAAATATGAACCATAATACTAGATATATGCACACCAGTGTTCATAGCAGCACTATTTACAATAGCAAAAAGTTGGAGACAGCTTAACCAATGGAAGAATGGATAAACAAACTGTGGTACATACACACAATGGAATAATATGCTACCTTGAAGAATAACAAGGAAGCTGCAAGCCACCACATCATAACGGGGATGAACCTTGATTGAAGACACTGTGCTGAGTGAAATTAGTCAGTCACAAAAGGAAAAATACTGCGTAGGACCATTATTATAAAAGCTTAAGAAAAAGTACCCACACTAAAAGGGGGGAAAATTCTTTGTTGGTTATCGGGTTGTGGGGGAAG